GGTAGAGGGGATCAATGGGAGGAAAAAAGGGGAACATCTGTAATACTTTAAACAATAAAGATAAATTTTTTTAAAAAATTCAATGTGTAGTAAGTGGAAGACTGGGGAAAAAAAAGGTTTAGAAACTATCCTCTTTCCTGTGTCCTTCCACCCGAGAAAGCCGACCTTCATTCTGCTGAAGATTAAAAGGAGAATCCAAGCTGACAGATTTCTCCTGGCAAACTCTACCCCCAGGTTTGAGCAGTGAAATGTCTTTCTGAAAGGTCTCCGGACACTAACATCCTGGTTTGCTGCCTTCTGCTGGCATATCAGTAGGCGTAGAACATACTGAGAGTGATATATACACCAGCACTATAATGAAATCTCCTGTTTTTGTTATTTAAGTTTATATGATCCAAAAGTAATTTTCTGCTCAAATAGTTTTCCCCTACTTTTCTCAAGGAGGTGTGTTAAGTCTTTCACAGACAGTCTAACACATGGTCTAACACAAGAATGCTATTCTTGATTCCAAGTGAGATTATCATTGAGAAGCTGAAAAACCATTCATCTGTCTGTTACCTCCCCCTTAATAAAACATAGTAACTGTTATTTGTTTCACTCAGGATATAATCATTCCATTTTAAAAAATATCTTGCAATATAATAGTAATTACATTGGTAATGCCAACTTGTAAGGATTCATCAACTTTTAAAAAATGAAAGCAAACCACCATATTAATGGTTACATAATCTTTCTTAGTACTTTCTTGAATCGTCTAAGATAACAATTGAACTAAAGTATAAATATTTCAAACAGTATACTATGTAATCTAATGCTCCTTATAAAAGCCAGTATATTATCAGGTAAATAAAATACGCATGTAATTATGTAAAAATATATTTGAATATTTAAATAATGCTATGTTTAACCTAACTTATTTAATTATTAATATCTTAATTCTATAATTATAATTAACTATTATTATCAAGCTATATATTGAAAATATATTTTCAGGAATTGTTTTTGAAGCATTTTTCCAGATATAGGCAAAAGAATAGTAAAATTTCTGGATCAATTTCCCCATAAAAAATGTTTCTGCCCTCATGAACTTCACTTGTCTTGTTTACCAGAGCATCTGATACAGTGCCTGAAACACAGAGGATTTCTATAAATATCAATTAAAAAATTAAATATGAATATACCACATAGATGTATTATGACCTACGATGCTGTTTCCATTTAAATTGAAGCAGCCAATACTTCTATATTTTTAAAGTTTGAAAGTACATTTCTTACAAAAGTGCTAGGAATATATCTGCTGATTACTTATGAAAAGCTTTTAAAACTTGAGCCAGAGTGTCACGGGATCTAAAGTGAGTACATTCAGTACCTGAGTTTTACCTTACCAAAACAACGGAGCACATACTTGCCATAGCTTCCTCAGCATTCTGCGCTTTGACATGGAAGGGTGTCCCTTCAAATTAGGAGGTGTTTAGCTCAGGCCATCATTACCAACAGGTCCGAAGTACCTATCTGCCATCTCCTACAAAAAAAGTAATATCACTTTATTATTCTAGACATGATGCAGTCTTAGGTAGGAAATTTTAAAGTTTATGCCTTGGCTTTTAAAAAAATAAATATAACCTTGAAAAAAATTTAATTTCCTCATGGAAACTTTAAAAGAATCATCTAAATGCCAAACCCAATATTAGTAAGATACACAGAAATTGAAAACTACACTTTTAAAAAATTCTGTATCAAGTCACCATGATAGTATTTTCAATAAAAATTTTCAAAATATGGATATATGCAGAATATCATAGGAAAGCTAAGATTAAGAAATTTGAAATTGTAAAAAACTACTACACAAAAGTTACAAAAAACAACTTAGTTAAAACTAAGTTGAAAGAGGTATATATTTCTATGTTTACACATCAACTACTGATATCTATATCCTAACTTACTATGCATTAATTGGAATGGAATGGATTATTAATGCTGGCAATAAGCCAATACTACTTAAACTAGTGGTATTCTACCTCTAAACATGTAGTATCTAATAGAATGACTGGTGATTATTTCGTTTTTGCAAGAAAGCTACAACCAAATGGCTTTTCAATCAATGCATTGTGAAACATTAAATTGTACAAATAAGCTGAAAATTGTTCCCTGAAAAAAGATTTGCATCCAAATACGGTATATTACTCAGAGTTAAACCAATCAGGAAAATTTAATAAAAATAAAATCGTTTCTGTTATTAAGTAACAGGAAATAATGCTTTTGAAGGGTTGAATCATTTTTGTTGTTCTTTGAGCACTGAAACTCTGTAACCATAGTGAATGAATATTCAGGAAGATGATTTCCCCCTCCCCCCAATACCTTATCTTTTGATTCTTGGTATTATTATATACAAGTTTACAAAGAGCCCTCTTAAGTCAAGAAATAATGTAAATTCACCAACCCTTTAGTATAATACTTCTAGGTAAAGTTAAAGCTTAAGCTAAATAGTTACACTATTTTCCTGGTAAGTGCAGTGGAGCATCCTGTTATCTCAGCAGTCTGGGAATTCTACAATTTCATTTCCTGGTATCTCCTTAGCCATCCATCTACAGGATGTGGAACAGAAGATAGGAAATAGTTGCCAAAAAGGAGAGGTTATTTTCCAAAATGAATTATTAATGTTATAGGAAATTGGTAACCTATTTGAATTCACTCTTAAATCACACAGTAATTGCAAGATGTTTCACCAAATAGGAGTCTCTTGAGAAGAACTGCCAAGACATGTGAAGGCACAAGGCAACTAGAGGAGCAATAAATGAGCTCCTCAGTACTTCTGGATGAAAAGCATACTTGCCTGATGTTATTTCAAGTTCCTGATACTGGGATTACTTTAGAATACTTCTCTCTAATTCACAGTGTCTTATAATAGTACCTATTTAATAGGGTTGTTGTGAGGACTGAAAGAAATAACACATGTAAAGTGTTTGGAATATTTCCTGGCATTAATAAGTCCACAATTAGATTTATCTTTTATTTAAGGTGTTAACTTTAACTTATAGAAAAGAAGCCTTTGTTTGAAATTCATTAAATGTTGCAACAGTATAAAATATTTTAAAAGTCTGGGCAATAATTTTCCATTTCATACCTTTGAGCACTTTAAGCACTGCTAGAAAAAGTTGGCTTTAACAAGTAGACATTGATCAATCATAATTTATACCCCACCCCACCCCAACATACACATACTTTCTCTGACCTTCAAGGAGAATCATTTGTCTATAACACATTTTAAGGGCTTTTTCATAGAACTAACAAATCTCTGATATAAAAAATGTTATAGTAATAAAGATAAATTGTTCTCTTTTCACCATCCCTCACTCCCAAGTACAGTCCATGCCCAGAAAAGTTTTAACAAACTTCTTTTCAACAATATTGGAAGGTAAAGGAAACAGACCTACATAGAAGAAAAACATAATTATGAGTGAAATGCACAGAAACATCAGAATCTTTCTATCTCCTTTAATTCCTCCCAACAATGCGAAAGACCTTTAGGAAGGGGGAAAAAAGAGTCAGAAATCCTATGGGAAACAGGAAATCACTAAAATTGAGTGACAAAGCTGTTATTTTATTTAAAATTATAAATATGTATATGATGTGTCTACCACATTGGTGTTTCAATTTTCTTGGATAAGCTTTGATATTTTTTAAAAATCTAAATCTAGCCCTGGCCAGTGTGGCTCGGTTGGTTGGGCGTTATCCAGTTTGATTTCTGGTCAGGGCACGTGCCTGGATTTCAGGTTCCATCCCCAGTAGGCAGCCAATTGATTAATGCTGTACTCTCCCATCGATGTTGCTCTCTCTCCCTCTCCCTAAAAATCAATTTAAAAAAATCTAAATCTAAAAACTGAAAATAAAAATCTTGCATAAAATATGATTTACTCTATTTTAACTCCCTTGAATAAATGTCATTCTTAAACTGCTCATAAATACTTCTTTTCCAAAGTATATCACTATATTTATTTAGACCAAAGGTATATAAAACCATTTTTATACTCTTAAATACATTATGGAGTACTGGTGATATAAACTACAAAGATTAAGTATTCTTTAAGACCAAAACCTGGCAACTACCGAAAAACATTATATTTACTTTAAAAATTAACTTCGTAAAATACAGATCTCCAAAATGTAAGCTCAAATATATATCCTGATTAGTAATCAATAGCTTCAGTCATGCAAGTCTGGTTGACTCATGACCACACTGTTAATATTCAAATAAGTAGAGACTTTTGAGCCCAAATCCACAATGCTATAATGTACATAAAAAGGTTATTTCCTCAGCTACATTTGTTATCATTTTAATAATTTAAGAGTACTTCTACTTAAGAATAAAGCTATAATTTAAAGCAAACTAGTCCCAAGTATCACATTATTGTGCCTAACAAACACGAAAGAAAATATATAATACATCGTTACATCACCTTTCAGTCTTAATGTGAAGTTTAATACAAAAGGGAGAAAGTCTCCAAAATGAACCCACCTCACCTATGCTATTAAGTTCATTAATAAAACAATTGCAAAACTTCACATTTATTTTAAAAAGAATTTAAAATACAAGTATCATGAAAGATGAAATAATTGGGACATCATTTATGGACTGTCCTCCAAATTCAGTGAAACAATCAGCTTGCTGTAAGGAAAAGACATCTACTAATGAGTGTTCACAGTGCAGGCACATTTATGTTTTCCGCCTCAGCATATTTTCAAACCATCTGGCATCAGTGCCACGCTGGTTCACCAGCCTAATCTGTTCAGAATTGAATATAAAACTAGAGCTACATGCACTTTGGGGAAACCAAAGAACAGCACACATGTATAAAAATGTCTCTTCCAAATGTGCAGCTCTTAACTAGTTTGTACTTGAAATGTGTTTCTAAAACATTTCCATTGAATATGTTAGAGCTCTTTTAAAAATACTAGAATGGTTCGAGAAATCTATGTGGATGGTAGCTATCATCAGTTACCCAGGTCTTTATTTTTTCTCATTTTCATCCTGATCACTAAAAAAAGCATCTGAAGAGGTTCTTCTACAAAAAGGTTCATTGCTACACGAAATGCTATCCTTTCTATACTGAAAGGGCCCAAGATTTTCATTTTATTTTGCATAACATTAGTCTGCTTAGGCCTAAAATGCTTAGAGTAAGAAGGGAAAAACTGAGAGAAAAAAATATTCATGAAAGCCCTTTTTCTTTTACATCCTGTACCGCATTATTGTCTTTGGCAGCACACACATTTCTTTTGCTTAAAATCAAAAGTCCAAATTGCTACTTAAGAAATAAAATCTATGGATATACTAGAGTCAATATCCTTGTTAGAACCAACTCCCGTTCATCCTCACTGTTGGCATAACAATAAACGACTTTTTCAGAGGGAAAGACAATTCATGTAGCACCATACAACACAAGTTGAGCTTTTAGACGAAGACTGAGAAACAACGACCAATACCAACAAACCTAAAGGTGCGCTTGGGTGGGTTCCTACACGCAGGCTCCAAACCAGCAGCCACTGCTGGGGGGCTGCTTCTTCCTCCCTAACTGTAACCACTCTGTGTCCCAAGTCTGTGATTTCCCTCTTCTGCAGGGCTCTTCACCTCTCGGGGAACCGCTGCTTTTCAAGTCACGGAAGACCCCAACCTAACCCGCTGATTTCTGCGCGTTAGCCAGCCTTCGCTCACATCCCCCTCCCCCAGGGGCAAATGTCAGCCTCCGCTCGTGGCTTTCGTTCTCTCGTCTTTTTCTTCTGTGTTTTCTGTTGTTTATTTGTTTTGTCCTGTTTTCTTCTTTTTGCCTCCCGGTTTCCTTCGGAGCTGGCCGAGAGGTCGGCAGGGCGGGCGGAGCCCCGCTCGGCTCGGCGGGTCTCCCGACGCCCGCTCCGTCCTTCCCCTTTCGCTTCCCAGTTCCCCGCCGGCCTCAGAGCCGCGAGCCCGCGCCAGCCCAAGGAGACCTTCCCCGGGGTCTTGCTCTTCCCTCGCTGTCACCCGTGCAGAGCAGAGGTGGGAAAGACGCAATTGAAACAAAGAAATTCAAATCTCTTTACCAAGAACTTTGGCGGATACACCCAGGGCCCGGGCGTCCCCCGGCCTCTGCCTGCCGGCCATGAGACCCGCTCCCTCGCCCATCTCCTTCCAGCCCTGCACCCCCCCCNGGCTGCTCCCTTTAGGCCAAGGCTGGGAGCAGTCCCTGGTCAGCCTCCCAGGCTCCCTCTGAAAGGGACAGATAACATTTCCATTCTCTGTAATTAACTTCACCCTAAGTCCCAGGGCTTCTTCAAAACGTAACAGACATCTTAAGGACTAAACTCTGAGTCTTGCCCCGAAGTGGGGGCACGGCCTGGCCCCAAAATAGGTGCCCAGCCTTCCCTGAAGTAGGGTACAGCTTTCCCCGTATTGTTTCCCGGGGCTCCAACCCCAATGCCAGTGCGCTCGGCTCCAGCAAGAGACTCTCTCCTTACTTTGAGGGAGGCTGAGTCCCCACGAGGCCACACGCCCCTACAAGGCAGGGTTCCCGACCTCCCCTGGGACCCTCCATATTGCCGGGGTTCTCCATCCCTGCGGCGTACCCTCCCGTAAGACCCAGTCTTCACTCCCCTCAACAACCCCAAGTTGCTCAGCCCTCTCGTAGGCAAGGGACTGAGATTTTCCCTCACGGAGCACCCCCCAGCTCCTTCCCCGGCCACAGAGACCCCGCAAGCGCGAAGGAGGCGCAGGGTCTGTCTGTCCCCCAGGGGCGATGCCCGGCCCTGGCAGGCCCGGTCCCTCCCCCTCGGATGCCCAGCGCCAGGTCCGCCCCGCGCCCGGCCGCCGCGAGCGCTGTCCCCCGGGGTCT